GCGAAGCTCCTTTCAGCAAACCACACAGCCTATGTTCCATTGTGCGCCTCCCCTTATGGTTGGGATCGTTTTGCTCTGTTCGTTCTCCTGTTCTTGTACCTTTCATCTCCTCCTCTCCACTCTTTCCCACTCCATATGTTTGGCTTTTTCTCCCTGTGTTGCTTCTTGCTTCTGTGCATTTTCTAATACCTGATTCCACCCCCGCCGCCAACACCACCACCACCACCACCTCGCCCATTCCCACCACCACCAGTGGTTTGAAGCCGAGGGCGATGCAGGCACAGTGCTGTCAGTGCGAGACCTGCTCTCCTGGGCGGCCTTCGTCAACGCCACTGCTCACCTCACTCCACAGCAGCAGCAGCAGCAGGATGAACCGGACGAGGGGAAACCCGCAGCCAGCGAGGAGGAGAAAAGGCCCGCAGCAGGCAAAGGAGTGCGCATAGACAAGTGGACGGCGTTTCTCCATGGGGCTTTCTTGGTGTTTCTGGACGGCGTGGGGATTGGTCAAGGGCTGCCAGAGGATGTGGCGCAGACTGTCCGCGCTCGCAGCTTCAACCTGCTGCTGCAGCTGCTGCCACCGGTAGGTCGAGTCAAGTCAAGTGACTCAGTGCTGTAACAACACGCAACTTCTGATTGGATTCGATTCAATCTATTCACCCTCACCTCACCTTCTGCTTCTCCCATCCTCTGGCTACAGGAGGCCAAGGCAGCCGGCGTACAAGTGGGCGTGCAGAGCAAGCTGATAACAGAAGCACCTCCTTCAGACCCCACTGCTCCATCCGCTCACGCTGTTCTGAAGCTGAGCCTGACAGACGTGCAGCGAGTGTTTGGCTTCTACCCCTTCTACATCCCACGGGGTACTGTTTCGATAGGTCTTAAGCCAACTGAAAGAGCCATCTGGGCAGCACCTGGTGTGACCAGTGACCACATTGTTTTAACCACTCTCACGTTCCATCTCATCGTTTTGCTGGTTTGTTTGCAATATGCATGTAACGCTTCTCCCTCCGCTTTCTGAGACTTCCCAAAACGCGGCGTGAACATGCAATGCTTTCTCGGCTTCTCCTGGTCTTTCCTAGTTTGCTTGCCCCCTCATGTAAAACAACCAACTCTCCTATGTCCTTTGAGTCGACTCAAAAGTCTTCTCCTGGTCTTTCCTAGTTTGCTTGCCCCCTCATGTAAAACAACCAACTCTCCTATGTCCCTGCTTTCCACAATAGCTGTCTGGCTCTGCAATGTCCCTAGCTATGTGAACTCTCCGACTCTGTCTGTGTCTCCCCTCTTTCCAATTGTCCCCTCCTCTCGCCTGTGTCCTCCTTTCCTCCCCGTCTTTTCCCCCAGGCCCGTGTGCCACCGACACATCAGTGCCATTTGACAGCATGCCTTTTTGAGACGCCTAAAAATTTATCTCCTCCTCTCTTCCCACCCTCCCTATTTTTTTATTTCTCCACCCCTCCAGGCCCGTGTGCCACAGACACTTCGGTGCCGTTTGAGCTGACAGCGCCCACCACCAACGCCAATGTCGTTCGCCTGCTCAGAGCCATGCAGATCCGCAAGCCAGGTGCGCTGCCTTTCAGCACATTCAATTGCATTGCATTGCATTGCATGCACGAGGGATGGCCGCCCGCTCGCATGTGCACTGCATGCGGCCGTGCAGCTATCGGTAGGGGTGTGTGGCGTGTCTGATGCTACTTGATTTTTGCACTCGTGTGCGTGCGAGCATGCTTTTGTGTCGTTGCGTGTGCCGTACGTTAGGCTGCATGTTTGGCACTGGTTCAGGCTTGTAAGTGTTAGGCTTTTCAACAGGCTGTGACCCACTCTATTGTTCAAAGCACGCCCCTTCCTGGGTGCCTCTCAACTCGTCCCCCTCGTCCACCTTACCCACTCAACCCCCCCGTGCAGTGCTATTGGAGGGCAGTCCAGGTGTGGGCAAGACCAGTCTGGTGGCGGCTCTGGCAGCAGCAGCAGGTCACCGCCTCGTGCGAATCAACCTGTCGGAGCAGGTCAGTCACAGGGGAAGGGAGACAGAGGAGAAATGGGACAGGTGGTCACAGGGACAGAGGGGCACTGGGATGGACGGTCACAGGGGCACAGGGGAGGGGCACAGGGATCAAGGGTTGTGTGGTTTGAGATGGGAGGAGAGAGGCCTGCTTGTGTGAAGTAGGGGGGTATGGGCCCTCCACGAGATTTGCGTTCTGTCGCAACTTTTTCTGCTTCCCCTCCGTTCGCCCCCATGCTTTAGGTTTGTCCTTCCTCTATCTCCCTTGCACAATGCCGCTCACTCCCATTTTGTCCCCCAACCCCTCTGCCTACCTTCCCCCCCTCCCCCTTCTTCCGTGCCCCTACTCTCCTCGGCCCCCCGCCTCCTCCCCTCCCTGACTCCCCACACCCCTGCGCCCGCCCGCCGTCAATCTTCACCACATCTCTCCCTCCTTTTTCATTCTACCATCTGTCTCTCAAAACCTACCATCCCTCGCTTCTGCCCCTCCCGCACGCCCCACCCCATGCCACATCACCACAGACGGACATGATGGATCTGCTGGGGTCAGACCTGCCAGTGGAGGGCGGCAAAGGGGGCGAATTCCGGTGGGCCGACGGGGTCTTCCTGCAGGTACTGTATATATACCCTATAGCCCTCCGGTGGTACGCATTGGTCTCAGCGGTAATACTACTGCTGCATTCTATTGTAATTTGTATCTGCATGCCTTTGTTCATGTATCCGTGGCTGTGTGCGACGGCTGCAAGTCCGTTGCCCTTGAGTAAGAGCCTTTGACGCAGAGAAGAATAGGCTCGACCCAAAGTTTTTTTTGCTTGTTCACACATGGTACTGTGCTACAATCTTCCTATATCTCCAGTTTCCCACTTTTCCTCCCCCTCTCTCCTCCTCGCTTCCCTTTCCTCTTTTTCTTTCCCACGTGTCTTGCTTCCTTCTCTCATTCCCTATCCATCCTAGAGAGGGTCTCAACAGCCAGTCCCCCTTCCTCCCCCTCTCCCTCCCGTTCCCTCCCCCCCTCCCCCCCCCCCCCCTCCCTGGAAGCTGCTAGACGAGTTGAACCTGGCGTCTCAGTCCATTCTAGAGGGGCTCAACAGCTGTCAACCCCCTTCCCCCTCCTTGCCCTCTCCTCACCCACCACAAACCCATCTCTACCACTTTTCGCAGGCCTTGAAGGCGGGCGACTGGGTGCTGCTAGACGAGCTGAACCTGGCGTCTCAATCCATCCTGGAGGGACTCAACAGCTGCCTGGATCACCGAGCAGACGTCTTTCTGCCCGACCTCAACCGCACCTTCCACTGCCCGCCCTCCTTCCGCATCTTTGCGGCTCAGAACCCCCTGCAGCAGGGCGGGGGCCGCAAGGGCCTTCCAAAGTCCTTCCTCAATCGCTTCTCCAAGGTGGGTTGCCTGGGTGGTGGTGCTGCTGCCGCCTCTGCCACCGCTGCCGTTACCGCCTCTGCCGCGGCTGCTGCTGCTGCCTGCTCCACCTGTTTTGCTTCTCTGATTAGCGTGAATAGGTCGAGAAGCAGGTCTTTCTGTCCTATGATCCTCTCAGGTGTAAATCAGCCAAAGCAGGCACTTGCGGCCGTTCTCCTTACATATGGGCAACCTCCACATCACAGGTGTACATGCAAGCCCTCAAGTCTGACGATTTCATCTAATGCTTGGGTGCGTTTGCATCTGTGACTGTCTGTATCTGTGTCTGTCTGCGTGCACACAACACCACAGGTGTACGTGCAAGCCCTGGAGTCAGACGATTTCATATTCATCGCATCAGCGCTCTTCCCATCAGTGCCCCTCTCTCTACTCCACAAAATGGTGGATTTCAACACACAGCTGCGCACGCACGCCCTCTCCCGCACCTCCTCCTTCGGCATGGCTGCTAGCGGCGCCGGGGGACCCCTCTGGGAGTTCAACCTGAGAGATGTGCTGCGCTGGTGCGAGCTCATATGCTCGCCGGGAGCAGCAGGGAAACAGGAACAGGAGGGGGGCAAAGAGCGGGAGGAGGAGGGGGGTGAAGGTGGGGAGGGAAAGAACCAGCAGTTGCAGCGGCAGGGGCAGTGGCGGCAGCAGCAGCAGCAGGTGCAGCATCCGGGGCGGTTTGTGAACCTGCTGTACATTCAGCGGCTGAGGTCAGCAAGTGAGCGGCGCTTTGTGGCCCAGCTGTTCCTCTCAGTCTTCGGCCACCCTCTGCCGTTCGACCCCCACCCCTCTATCTCCCTCACCCCCAACCTCCTCCGCATAGGCAACGCTTCGCTCCCAAGAGCCTCCCTTTGCGCAGCCCCCTCCTCCTCGTCGTCGTCCTCCTCCTCTCCTTCCCTACCTGCCCCAACACCCTCTTCTTCCTCCGCCATGCTCCTGTCCTCCTCACTCCACCTCCTCCCCGCCTCTGCCTCCGCCCTCGAGTCGGCTGTAGCGGCTGTGGCACACAACTGGATGGTGATTCTCGTGGGGCCCGCAGCCTCGGGCAAAACCTCCCTCGTGCGCCAGCTGGCACAGCTGGCAGGGAGGCGGCTGCGGGAGATGCCGCTGACGTCAGCCACGGATACGACTGACCTGCTGGGATGCTTTGAGCAGAGGGATGGCAGGCGGCAACTGGGGGAGGTGGAGAGGCGCGTGGAGGGTCTTGTGAGGGAGGTGGCTGCTGCTGTGCTTGCCAATGGTGCTGGTAGTGGTGCCGGTGGTGCCGGTTCTGGTGGTGGTGGCGAGATGGTGAGTGAGGTGGGGGTATTGACCAGTGAATGGTGGCAGTACTGGCAGCAAGCGAAGGAGAGGGATGGGCTGAATTTGGGTAAGACAGACAAGGCCGAAGGAGGAGAGGAAGGAGGGAGTGAGAGTGGAGGAGGGAGAGGAGCGGGCAGTGCTGATGCCGCTGCTTGTGATGCAAGTGGTATGGCCCTTCAGGCGAAGGACACTCTTGCTGCACAGCTGGCGCAGTTTGATTGGCTGCTGAGGATAGTTGGGAAGGCCCGGAGCATGCTGGTGGGATTAGAGGGAGCAGCATGTGGGGGTGAAGGGAGGAGGGGAGATGAGAGAAGTGAAGATGAGGCAGGGAAGGATGGAGGAGAGGAAATGGAAGAAGGGGAAGAAGTGGAGGAAGAAGGGGATGCAGCAACAGTAGCAGCAGCAGAATCAGGAGGAGGAGGAGACGTGGCGAAAGCAAACGGCCCTGTATCCATTTTGGTGGCTGCAGCAGACAGCCTAGCAGGAGCAGTGAGAGAGGCGCGGGGGGTGTGCGAGGAGGAGGGCATGGCGCGCGCTGCAGGGCACTTTGAGTGGGTGGAGGGGCCGCTGGTGGAAGCAGTTGTGCAGGGCGACTGGGCTGTGCTTGATAACGCCAACTTCTGCAACCCCTCGGTGAGTCCATCTGTGACGCGTAAATGCAACCTGACATTCAAGTTGTAACATTAAGTGGAATTCAGATTTGCAATGTGTATGAAGAGCCTTAGGCCCAGATGGAGTGGCAATAGGTGTGTTGCAAGATTTGGCAATAGATGGTTTGTCTTTTAACAATCCCCATTGCTGTCCTAATTGGTAACTTCTGATGCTGGTGAAGGAGAGAGGGGGTGGATTGCAACTGTTATTTTCTGCTTTTCTGAATCCTTCTGCCCTGCTGACGACGAGCATCCCTATTTGACATCACAAATCTGCTCCCTCCCCACCCGCCACTTCCTCCGGACCCCACCCCACCCACCCCACCCACCCCACCCTACCCCACCGCAGGTACTGGATTGGCTGAACCCCCTGGTGGAGCCACACGGGCACCTGCTGGTGAACGAGCGGGGCCTGGTGGACGGCAAGCCCGTGCTGCTGCGCCCGCACCCTCACTTCCGCCTCTTTTCCCCCACCCCACCCCACCCCACCCTACCCCACCCCACCCCACCGCCCTCCACCGCAGGTACTGGATCGTCTGAACCCGCTAGTGGAGCCACACGGGCACCTGCTGGTGAACGAGCGGGGCTTGGTGGACGGCAAGCCTGTGCTGTTGCGCCCGCACCCTCACTTCCGCCTCTTCCTCTGCCTCGACCCGCACTACGGCGAGGTCTCCCGCGCCATGCGCAACCGTGGAGTTGAGATTTTCCTCATGCCCCCGGACTGGCCCTGCCCTGCCGTGCCACCGCTGCTTCCGGCTCCTCCTCGCGCTGGTTCTTTTGGGTCGGAGGTTTCTGCTGTGGCAGGTGCTAGTGCGGGGGGCCATGGTTTGTTGGATCGAGTGGTGGTGGATTCAGGGTTTGGGGATGGCTCTGCCGGGATGGAAGGAGGGCTGGGAGAACACGCCCATATAAAGATTCAAAGGGGTGAGGTGGGCGTGAGCACTGGCAGGCAGGATGGGGACCCGTGCAGGGAAGGAGCAGGGAGTGGGGAAGAGAAGGATCCAGCGGTTGAGATTCTCTCTCTTTTGGATCCTTCCGCTTGGATCGCCGGTTGTCACCAGCGCCTGCCTGAGAAGCTCATCTCAACCGTCCATCTGATCATCAGATCGGGGATCGCTGGCCCTCGGTTGGTGGCCTGCATTCTCCTCGCTCTTCTCCAGATCCAATCACTAGCTGCCACATGGAAGCTTCCAGGTGGAGGCATTGTAGGTGGGGGAAGAAAGGGGCCAGAAACAGCAGCAGGAGCAGAAGCAGCAGCAGTAGCAGCAGAGGCAACCATGCCGCCAGCAGCAGTGGCAGCAGCAGTAGAGGCGTCTCAGAACTACGGGGCGTGCCCCACACTAAGGGAAGTGAATCACCTGCTGCGCCTGCTGATCGAGCTGGTGACTCGGGGAAAGCCTGTGGCGGTGGCGCTGGTGACAGCATGGGACCAGACGTTTGTGCGGCGATTGCAGGATGAGGAGCGGAGGGAGCAGGCCGGCCGGGTCATTCGAGACGCTCTGAGATGGGCTTGTGATGCCCCTGGCCCTGTTCCAGTTGATGGTGCTGCTGGTGGTGGTGCTGGCGATGCTGCTGGTGCTACCACAACCACTGCCTCACTCTCCCCTCCTCCTGTACCCCCCTTCGACTCTGCCTCTCTCGTCCTGCCTGGCGGTTGGCCTATGGCGCCACTACCCCTACCACTAGCAACTCTCCACACCATGCCATCTCGCCTGCATGCTGACATATCCCCGCTCATTGCCATTCTCGGCCAACTCACCTCCTCAGAGCTGCTCTCCCGTTGGGACAGAATCCTCTCCCGGCAAGACCTTCCGATCGGCACGCGCCACGTGGCGGCGCGTGATTGGGCCTTGCAGCTGCCAGCGCAGGTGCGGCTGTGGCTGCCCGAGTCCTGTCTAGCCATGCTATCCCAACAGTCTCAACAAGGCAAGGACCGGGAAGAAGAAGAAGCTAGTGCTATGGTGACTGCAGCGGGTGTGTCTGCACGTGCACATGCACGGGGAGCAGTGCTGCTGCGCCTGCTGCTAGAGCTGTTTCTAGATCGGAGTATGTCCCTTGAAGACCTGAATCTCCGCCTGTCTCTCGCTCGCTCACACTCCTCTGGCCCTGCTGCCACTGCTACTGGCACCAGCAACACTGCAACAGCAGCGGGTGCAGAGCTCAATCGACTGATCGACTCCCTGTCTCCCCTACCCCTGCACCGCTGTCTCTCCGACCTCTCAGCCACACGCTCAGAGCTGCTCGCTGCTCTCTCCGTGCCTGCACCTCTTGCTGCCTCTTTGCCTCTGGATGTATCTGTTTCTCCTCAAGTGGCCGCTCTGGTGGCTGATGCCTCTAGCACAGCTCTGCACAGCGTGCCTGGGAGGTTCGGGAGTGGAATGGACGAGGGTGTGGGTTCAGGAGGCGGCGCTATGCAGGTGGATGGTGAAATAGGAGTGTCGCCTGCAGTGTTGTGGCAAAATGCATCTTCTGCAGCCAATAGAGTGAGAGCGCTCCGCCGGTGCCTGCTACAGTGGTCGCTAGAGGACGAAATGAGCCAGAGGGCGCTGCTGGCCCAGGAAGCTTCCGCGCAGTCCACTGCGTTTGGCTGCTCTCTCCTGCATTTCTCCGGTGTGCCTGAACTACAACAGAGGGCGAACCAGATACTTGCAGCATCAGTAACAGCAGCCAATAATGCGAGTGGAGGAGGGGATGGAAGGTCAAGGGGTCTGCTGCTAGTGGCTCCCTTCCTCTCTGCTCTTCGCCAGGTGGAAACAGCACTGCTGGATTGCCCTCCCCCGCTCGCTCATGCGCTGTGGGCTGCGGTAGCGGCGAAAGGACAGGGACCAGAGGAAGCGGGAAAATCAAAGGGGGTGGAGGGAGAGGAGGCGTTTTTATCCGCGTTTGGAGTGGTGATGGAGTGGCATGAGTCGCTGTGGGAGTGTGTGCGGGTGCTGCAGACAGCAGTTCCGTTTGACCGCCTTGTCTTTGTGTGGCACAAGCTGTGCTCCGCTGCCCTTCGTATGGCCAAGGCTGCAGCTAGAG